TTGTATTAGTACTTTTACCAAAATAAAACTTCTTCCTCTCCACAGAAATACTCTATTACAAGTAAAAGTGATGCATTTAAAAGTTTACTAGAGTTAAAACACAAAAGCATTTATTTCAAAGCAAACGGAAGACACCTTTAAAATAAATAAACAAAATAATATTGATATACATTTATCGGACAAATGCGCTAATATGTTTGCTTATTTATTAAGCAGTGGAATAAAAAGCACAATAGTTCCCTCTGAAATGGTGGAGTACATGTTTAAAGCAGCAGAAGTCCAAGTAAGTTTGTATCAATTGGAACTACTTTTACTTTTAATAATTAGTGAGCAATTCAGATCAAAACTGCAAACATATATGAAAATATAGCAGTTTATATGATGCATTGTTGTACATATACGCTAAACAGTGGAGTAGATGAGTTATTAGCTCCATTTCACCCAACAACAAATAACATTTAATTGCAAATATTTCTGTGGTTTTACTTTGTGCACTTTTAAATCTGAATCATTTGAAATTGAGTATTTGTGTGCAGAGAGTAATGTCATTACCTAATGCATACCTCTTTCACCACTGCCTCTAAGAAACAAAAATAAAGACTTTTATTGTGAAAGGCCCATATCTAGGACATTAGGAATGATGAGGTTAATAACAGACACATAAAAAGATAAAACGTGAATGATTAAATATATAACGATTAAACGAGCCTGCCCCCAATGGTACCAACCAAAACAACAATACTTCAATAACAGCAATAAAGCTATTTAAAGTTCAATAAGATGCATTATCTGTACATTGCACTTCCTTGTGGAGGGTGTAAATGCTCACTAATGGACGCCTTTAACAACAAGACAACAAAATAAATGGTAAATAATTAAATAGGCTACATTATATATTTTTGCAGCTCTAAATTCAGTTAAACTTCAAAATCTGAAGTGTAAACATTCAGATATGAACCCACAACAGATCCATCAAACGTGCTTTTTAATAACTTACAGTAACCACAGTTCTAGATACAGACACCTTCTGATTGGCCGCAGTGCAATTCAGGATGGGAGTTATTCAAAAAAGCACAAAAATGTATGCGTGGTGCAAGCATAAACATGTCCACGATGTTTTGTGTCGAGCGAGTAAGTGGGTTAATAATAGATATGCTGAAGGATGTTTGTGGGCTATAATTCAAAGGTCATGAAAAAGCTGTCAATAGCGAACGTGTTGAGAAACGCCACAGAGCAAAAGCGAGGGAGTCAGAAGTAAAGGTTAGCCGCTCCAGTAAACAGGTTTGTCGTCCCAGTTTTTATAACGACTTAATTGCTCAGTAATACAGGCATGTCTAAGATGTGTCCTACTGGAATGACCTCATAAATAAATAATAAATGAAGTGGCAGAGTAGGCGATAAGTACGTTATGGTTCCAAGATCAGATCAAACTCCAAACTGTGGTTTCGATATGAACGGGAAACGGCAAAACAAAGCAAACAACTCAAGTTTCATGTGGGTGTGTTCCACCCTGAAGCTTTATATTCATGAAAGCTGAGCACGCTGTATTGTGATACTTGCTACTGAAACCAACGTTTTTAAAAAAATATTCTCCAAACTATCACAGAATATTTTAATGTTCAGGGCTTGCACTGCATCCTCTGTGATCTGTGGTCACCATAAAAACAGACAGCACGACAAACTGGTGTTTTAGAAATTATTATTATTATTATTATTAACGTGCTTCAGAGCCCCACTCATCACCAGCACTCATCCAAGCAGGTTTTTAACCCGACAATATCTGACCACCAAAGGGCTGTGTTCAAATAATTTCATGCCAAAATATGACTGATCTTTTTCACCCAACACAATCCTGCTGAGAGTACGCCCGGAGCTCTTGGAAAACAGACACTCAGGGTTTTTCTGCAAAGACTTAATCTGAACACACATCTCATTCAAGAAATCATTGGAGCTGCCGATCTCTGACCTTTGTCTCGAGATGTCAGCATTCACAGTGTCGGCTGTTTGCTTATTTAACAGTGACCTTAATTCCACCTTCACCCAGTATAAATACCAGCATCAGACTACACGGAGCGGCATTCAGTCGGACGATAAGCTCGTTCTGTGTTGGAGGCTGTTTGCACACGTCTGGCAGGACGACTGCTTGGGGTCCTGGATACACTGAAGGATCATCAGGGTCCTGTGGACAGACATGATTACTGTTAATCCAGAATGCTCTCATTAGAAAGTTGAGCTTTTAACAAATGTGATATAAAATGAAGATGTCACGATACATCTATGTAGCTAGCTTAGCCCTTAAATTGAACAATGATAAGTTTACTGCAAGTGCAACAGTGCCAGATGAGTCTATTAAAGGCTTAAAACGACTTGTTTTAGTCAAAATATCCACAATGTTGCAACAGCGAGTGAATTCTGTGTCATGTCATGTTATATTCCAGTTGGTTGTAGAAGCAGTCGAACTGTTAGAATTTACACACAGCCTACGCAGGTGGCCTCCATCCTTGTAGGTTATTTTTTGGGCCTTTTTTTTGGCCTTTATTTGACAGCACAGTGACGAGAGAGACGGGAAAGTGGGGGAGAAGAATGGGTGAAGGATCTGCCGTAAAGGGTCTCGAACTCACTACCACAGCGTTGGGGACTTTAGCCCCTGAACCTGAGACGCCAGGTCAACCAGGTGAGCTGTCATGGCGCCCCACAAATGCATTTTTGAGGGCCTAAACATGCTCAAAAACTTGTGAAATTTGCATCAGAACTGGCGAAAAATGTGATATTTTATGGGTCCTAATGTGGCTCCTTAGCACCTCCTACACACTTTGTAACATCCACTATGGCCACGACGTTTCACCTACAGCTACGATTTTTGGTAGCGTATTTAAGTTTAAACCTCCAAATCATCCATCACCAATGTGTGTCCAATGGCAATCTAAACCCATCGTCCTGGATTGACGCCCGAGGTTTCTACCACTTCCCTGTTATAAATCTCTCTAAAGCCACAGCGGCTTGAAGGGGCCTCAGGATGTCACTTACTGGTCGTTGTCGGTGCAGGTCCAGCGGAAACCTCTGGACTGGAGGATCTGGATCAGGTCCACAATGGATCCATGACTACATGATTCTCTGTGGAGGAGAAGAACAAGTGTTATAAACTGTGAAAATGATGTTTAAAAGGATACTACTTTCTGATAAGTTACCATTTACTATTATTTGCCGAGTATAATGACAACATTTGTGCTCCCAGACTGTGGAAGATGTTCCTGTTTGATAAGGTTCAAATCTACTTTGTGGTCATTATATTTGGGTAACAGTATCGCCTTGTCATTTTAATTATAAACGCTGGATACTTGTGGGCTTCAAGCTTTTTAATAAACCATAACGATCGCAGTTTATATGGTAATAATAAATGGATTTTGGTCCATCAGTCCTGCTGAAAGAGCGAAAAATATTCATGTTTTGGTGAAGCAATGATCTACTGACTATCAATAAAGTCATTATTTATGGCTCATGACTGCTTAAATAACAGTAGCTTATCACAAAGTGGTCCTTTTTGTATAGTAACTTGGTGTTCCTGGTGGTGTTTGCTGTTTTTGTGCTCACATATGGGGTCCTTTTAGGTCGGTCACCACCTTAATGTTGACATAATCCACCCTCTGAGGATTCAGGTTGTCCAGTTCAACACTTCCAAACATGCTGTGAAATTTTTTAAATAAAAGAAGATTTTCTTTAATATATAGTCAAAGAAACTGACAGCAACGCATCAGCATCGTTCACTGCTTCCTACCTTTTCCTGTTGAAGGCGTTAACAATAGATCCATTCAGTAACACAGTGATGTTTCCGCACGCCGTCTCTGCAAACTAACAAATGGATGAAGAAAATCACTGGAGAGCAATTGTCCCGCTGCCGGTTTTGGAGCGGTATGTTGCAGAGGAATGACAAACAGCACAACTGTGTGTAGAATGTCATGATGGAAGTATTTCTGCAGCTGGGACATTAAACTCACATTTTGCGAGGCTTGTCTCCACAGAGAGTAGACTGGATGGTTTCTACATGCTGACCAGTTCGGACAAGAGCTGAAATCAAAACCTGTGTCAAATTCACATGTGTCGTTACTTGAGAGATGAATTAACAGTAACAAAAACAAGTTGAAGGTGACATGCACATTTGTAATAAAAGTCCGAAAAGGATCTAAAAAAAACATTTGGGAGCACAGCTGCAGCTGCCTGAGTGATGATGTTTTAGCTAAATCCCAGTGCTACCGTATGATTTCCAGATTTCTTCATGGTAAAAATTCCCAAACATAAATGTCTCCATCATTCAATACACATTTTTTTTTTGTGACTTAAATACGAACAACAATCATTACACAAATAGTTTGATATCATGTCTATATAGTGAATGTGATGCTATAGTTGGCAGCTGGTTAGCTTAAATATGAAAAATGCCAGGAAATGGGGGAAACAGCTGGTCTGGCTCTGTCCTTAAGTTGCAAACTCAAGCTACAAGCAGCTGTAACGCAAAAATAATTAACCCTTAATATCTACTTTGTCCACTATGAGCACAAACAAGTGAGCTCTTCCTGCTGTTTCATGTATTTGTGCTAAGCTAGGCTAAGCTAACTGGTTGCATATGTTAGTTTCAGATTCATTAAACAGGCGAGCGTGCAAGTTTATTTCAATATAACTTTTTTATATTATTAGCAAAGAACATTCTTTGTACTATTTGCACTATTTTAAACTTAAATACTTGAGATATGTATTGTTTGTAGAATTAATCTTAAATGTGACTTGCTAATGTTGATGGCTAGCTCTTAGCATTAATAATAGCACTACATTAACATTTTAAATGGTGCAGCATTTAAATATAAACAGTATATGTATGTACTAGTGATAGCCTGAACTATAAAACAAATGTAAATGTAAAAGTTTTTAATTCTTTAATTAATACATAATTCATGTTTCATTTTGTCTTTTCTTTATTTTGATTTCATTTTGGTAAATATTAGTAGACTTAAATGTTTTTCTTTTGATAGACGAGGTCACTTGATTTGTTCATAAAATAAAAAAAAAAAAGAAAAGAAAATGGAATTTATATTTTATATTTGCTTTTATGTGATTACTGATTTAATACAGTGGTTCCTTCAAGGGATCATGATACATCTCAGGGGTTGTAAGATAATTAATTAGACAGGAAAGAAGACAAACTGTTTTTCTGCTACATAAAAATAGATTTTTTGTCTTTTCTCTTTTTTTCATTTGAGGAAACAATCTGTCTTTGGTGAACTTGTGCACATATTCTAGATATACACAAGGTTTATTGAAGTTTCTTTATCAAAAACAAGCATTGTGGCACATCTTGTAATCGTCTCTGTCTTGTTTAAATCTGAAAAACTACATACCCGAGTCCTCGTCTTGGCCACACCAGATGAGGTCATTGAACATGTAGCCGACCAGTGTGTCCTCCAGCGTCCAGAAGTGCCGGAAAACAGCTGCGTAGCTGTGCATCAGTGTCCTGGTTTTACTCCAGAACAGGAACTAAACAAAAAAACAAATTTGAAAACAAAGCATGTTAAAGTACAGAATCAAGTATCAATGAAAAATGAGCTCAAACAAAAATACCACTCACCCTGTTGCAAGGCCAGATCTGTGGCATCACATTAAACATCTGATAATAATCCTCCACTGAGACGTTACAAGAAGACTGATGGACCACCGCCTCCTCAAACTGTCTCCAGATCTCCTCACAGTCGTAACTACACATTAAACGACAGAGATGCAACAATTAGTCAATTTAAAATGGAAAAGAGTACAAATGGATCGGCAGCAATTCTAAAAAGCAGAATTAGTTTTGACACGTGTTATTTGTACAGAAAAATAGGCCAAAATTCTTGCGTGTACACAGTTCTGAAACATGAATATTTACTGGTCTTTGGGGGTTTTGTTGGACAAAATAGGACATTTCCTCCCTTGAGCTCTGAGAAACTGAGATTTTTCACCATTTTCTCACATTTAATAGCAAAAATGGTTCAGAAATTAATCCACTGATTAACTGATAACAAAAGAACAATAATTAGCTCTGATTTCAAAGCACATGTGCCACGTTTGGGGGGGAAAAAAAATGCTTGTTCTGCAGATCACTAGTATGCTTCCAACTGTACAGACGACATTTTGAGCTTCATGAGATTTATGTGATGTTTCTCATTAAATTTAATGCCAATTAAAAGCGTGACCAACAGATTGACAGTTGATATTACGTCAATTACTGGACTGTAATCCATGAAGGCCTCAGCATGAACAGCCTGAGCAGAGGTTTTGACGCTTTGTTTACTTGTGATGAAACGGATTAACAACAAATGACATGTGTTACAAATGACATTGAGTTAAATTACAGGTAGTCGAGTAACATAAGAAAGAATTCTCAATTTAATAAAAATGTATTTTCATGCAAAGGATATCAGTACATGCTCTTTGTTACACAGTAATAAGCTCTTTCTTTCTTTCTTTCTTTCTTTCTTTCTTTCTTTCTTTCTTTCTTTCTTTCTTTCTACAGAAGCTAAACCCATAAGAAGAAAGAAACTCATTCACTGAACACCACATCAAAACTACCCTTCATCTGGACTTCAATACTGGCCTGATAATGTGCCCGCCAAAACTTTCTTCTTTTTTTTTCATTTGCAGAAGCTCAAATCTTTCAACTTTTGATGCTCAGTTCACATCAGAGCTAAGCTGTGGATTCATGTTTCAATGCATCAAATGTGCATCAAATCTGAGGCCCGGTCAAGGTTGCAAAATGCTGTGACAGGATAAATAATGGTTGCACGGTGCCTTACCTTAAGCTGGGGTTGACTATTGTGACGTAGGTGTAACACCTTCCAACCACAATGTGTTTAATGTTGGGGGTTGTCCCGAGCTGTGCCCTCAGTTGACCCTGGCACATCTGAGCCATGATAAACCCTTTGAAATAAATACAGAGAGAATAGAAACGATGTGATCTATTACATTTAGGAGTGGCACTACGAAAGACAAAGATGCGGGTGAACTTTACGAGGAATTACTTACATATTGTGACGCTGACGGCGACAAAGGACGCAGATGTTTTGGAGGAGGCGACAGCGAGACCCTGGACCGCCTCATCGCTCCTCTGAGGAGATGCGTGTTTGTACATGTTTCAATCCGCCTGGCTGTGGATGAGAAAATAAGGTTTTATGTCAGGTTTCGGATGTGGCAGCGGGCCAGCAGGTACTTTCCCTTAGAACTCACAAGATGTGTGTTTAGTTCTGTGTGATTGACTGGAATCTAATTATCCTGTGGCGTGTATAGAACTCCTTCCCACGTTTGTTTTTTTTTTATTCTTCCAGAGCTGTCGAACTTGGCAACACTCCTACACCCTCCAGGAGATGGTTGACCTTTAGACAACAATACAGCTTCTTGCATTTGAAGGATAAACCCAAAACCCACATCACCAATTCTAGACTACAAAGGGTAGCGCATGCAATCCAAATCTGCTTTGCAATTCAGTGACAGAACGTAAATGCTCACCGCTTTCCATGCAGAAGGTTAAGCTGCAACAAACGGCTCCATGGCTGCGATGGTAAACGCTTGGCCCCCCCAGTCTGACTTCAGCCTAAATGGAGTCCCGTCGTGGTGTGATGCGACGTGTACCCTCCTCTAATGGTTGACACGCTCGACGGGACGCTCTTCATAGGTCGACGAACGCGTCTCCTTACCAACCCGGAGACGTTCTTAAAGGACGGATGAGATAAGGTCGTTTTTTGTCTTGCAGAGAGTGGATCCACATGACTCCCATTATGGTGCCGCTAGGAATCCCCCTGAACACAGTGAGCGCTGTTCTCCCGGAGCCTGTTGTGACAGCTGGAGAACAGTATATGCGTTACTGTATTTCTTAATATGCGACATAGATTCAGCTTCTCAGGCTTCATGTTTGTCTCGAGATTAGCTGAAGGTGTTGTGTGGCATTTGCTCAGCTGTAGGCAAGCAGCTGATTGAGGTTTTATTAGCAAACGTACAGACATGGCATGGAAAGAATTATTAATTTTCAATAAACCTCTGTATTAATGATGAGTTCTCGGTTTTGTTTGAGTGCCACTGCAATGCCTTAGAGGGCTTTGCAAAATGTTATTTTGATTAAAAAGCAGCAGCATGTCTGTACCGTATAAGATCAATGTTAGAGGTGAATGCAACAGTTATGTAAGACTGGGACACTGCAGCTACTGCAGAATTACTGCCAGTAATCGTGTACTTTGACTGGTTTTAGTCAGATATTTTCACGCAGGTCCTGGATTTTAAATAGTGGATCATTTCATTGCATACTTTTACACTTTTCACTGCTCATGTGCATAAAGAACTGAGCAAGTTAGTGATTCTTAAATGTTAGATGACAATCAATCAGGTTAGTTTGCAGGTTGTGTTTGTCTTTTTGGCTGTGAGTTACTGCAGAGAAAGTATGCGATTAGGTCATTTGTAGCCATTAAAATGTTGTTCTGTCTGTTTGTGAACCACTTCGGTCCAAACCAAGACTGTTTAAAAGAAGGCGGCGTAAACCTGCATTAATTCTCAAGCCATAATGAGTTGATGGTCTTAATTACTTCAAGCGTTTCAAGCCTCAATAAATGCAGCATAATGTTCATTTTGTCAATTACAGTTCCATGTATGTTTGTGTACAATGTCAGTCTAAGTAATCGGAACTCTTTTTGGGCTTTTAAAACCATTTCATCGCTCCTCCAAAAGGCTTCCTCAGTTCCAGCTGACAGGTTGGGAATCCCTGGAAATTATTCTCAAACCCAAATGACCCCGAGACGAGACGGCTCGAGGTGTGAGCGGTTGTGAAACCGTGAGGTGAAGGAAAAGTCAAGGTGTTAACGGTGGTTCAACTTACAACACAGTCCAAGTTTATTTTCCCTGACGGCCTCCTGGTGAACTTTAGTCCCATTTACGTTGTCAGTTGGCCCCATGTGAATAAAGAGTAAAACAGCAATAATAACAATCTTATTGTATTTTTTTCTATTTGTCTTTTAGGCATTGTGTTTGACTTTGTTTTATGGGTTGCTATTTTTAAACAAACAGCACTTTGGTTCAGATCTTGCTGTTTTTAAATGTGCTAAGTGATGCAGGTTATGTTTCTGGCCACCTTGTGATTGACAAGATAATATAGTTGTGGCACAGTGGCGACGTCAGTTTCTTTAAATACTGTCGATGATGCTGATTAAAATATCTAAAGAACTGTTTGATGGATCGCCACTTAATTTGTTACAGAAACCCAACCTTCCCTCTATCGATTTAATGTGAAATATTATGTCAAAATGCCAATTACTGGACGGACTGACATGAAATCTGCTGCAGACGTCCAAGGTTTTCCTTTGCTAATAATCAGACATCCATACTACATTAACTGCACTCAGCTGTGTGCTTGTTAATGAGCAAATGTTTGCATATTAACAGGAAATAAGATAATGAACAGGACAGACATCACATCTACTAAACACCAACACACTTGCTTTGTCATTGTGAGTGTGAGCACAGATGTAAATCCTCGGATTAGTCTTAGTTAATGTAGGAGCTACTTAAGCTTCAGTCACAACCGGACGCACGACTTTTGGGATCAGACGTCCTTTGTGGATTGTGGGTGCCATAGAGGCCGTAGAGGTAAAGGAAAGGTTGCAAGGGCTCCGTCACAAAGGCGCAAGTCTGCCTTGCGAGTCGCAGGGGCGATGTGAATTGTCCGTTTGAGCAGGGGTGCTAACTGCAAAGTGTGATTGCTGTGGAAATTGTATTCACTTCTTGAGTTTGTCTTGCCACCAGCATACGTGGCACACACTCACCGCTTAGGAAAAGACAGGAACACATGGTGAAAGGAAGTCACACTTGCCTCACACAAGACGACGTACTGACAGCGGACGTCAGCTTGGTGTGATTTTCGAAAAACAAAACAAAAACAAAACAAACCAGAGACACTTCAGCGATCAGGTGATAGGTGCTCTTTCTATCTTTCTAAATTCTGTTAACATACTGACAGGGTTTGAGCTAAAGGTCGTCCCATCATCCTGGGGCGCTAAAAAATAGATCTGGGACGATACAAATTGATTTCAGGACAAAAGTTAAAACTATATAACAAATAGTGATGAAAATCTGTATGTGTGTAAATGGTAAGTGGTCTGCACTTATATCGCGCTTTTTCTACCTTAGCGGCACTCAAAGCACTTTACAATGTTTCTCATTCACCCATTCACACACAGAGCGGCCATGCAAGGTGCTGCCTGCCACTGGGAGCAACTTCGGGTTCAGTGTCTTGCCCAAGGACACTTCGACTGTGGAGGGGGCGGGGATCGAACCACCAACCTAATGGTCAGAGGACAATCGCTCTACCACCTGAGCCACAGCCGTGTGTGTGTGTGTGTGTGTGTGTGTATGTGTGTGTGTGTGTGTGTGTCCAGCTCCCGTTGGTCTGCTCAGCTTGTCTCTGTGTATCAGGCGCCAGTCAGTAACTTAACTAACTCTTAAGTGATAACAAGAGGACACTCAGGTCATAAACAGTGAAGTCAGAGCAAAAGGGACTCTAGTCTCTAATCTTTTCACATGGAAGGGAGAACATCATGCTGCTGCTTCAGACGTTAAAATGAACTCTTGTTTGCAAAGAGGTAGATTAACTTAAAGCAATACAAAGCTGATTATAATATGGTATATCCATTATTTGTTTGAAGCAATAGAAGATCACTGGTGAAACACGGGAGAGCGCCGTGAGCACGCCGTTTATACTCCTGCATTGGGTGACGGACGCCCACTGTGCGTTCGATTTTGTTCATGACTTGTGAGTGCGTGCTCCATGCTTAACACAAAAGGGGCACTTGCTCCCTCATTGCATGCAATGTGCATCTTAGACGACAGATTTTCTTCCCACAGCACCTTAAAAATTGCACATCTCACTTGCAAACTAACCAAGTTAAACTTGTGGCGTCGCTGTTCTCACATAATTTGTTGAATTTTTTTGACATGTGCTTACAGGTTGTCTGCATCTCAAAATTTCAGAGGACGGACTTGCGTGGCCATGCACGTTATTTGGACGCAGACGGGCCGCAGGAGCCTGTACGGCCGGTTGTGTCAAAGGAAATTATATGTTTCACAGTGTTTCACAATTAACGGTTAAAACATTTCAACATATTTAGCTGAGTGATGAGTGTAGGAGGAGAGCATCCTGCATGAGACACCGCTGTCTTCAGTAGACAAACTGTCATAACATCAGATTGTTATCTCACTGCTACTAGAAAAATGTGAATTAAATATTTAGGTTGAAATGGCCTGATTCCTGTCAGCACTCTTAAAGGGTTCTGAATTATACTGGTTCACTTGTACACTGAACAATATAAAGGACTTCCCATTACAGCATCACATTAAACCCTGTTTTAGTTAATATATAGGCAGCATCCGCAAAAAAAATTCTAAAGAGTAGAAGAGGAGTGATTCATATTAAACTGGCCTGTATGAAACGAGGCAGCATAATGTGCTCTGAGCTGGAGGACTTAATGCGTGCCGAACTGTTGCCAGACATCTCATTAGCTGCTCTAAGAAGATGACGACTTGGAATTTGGAAAAAAAAAAAAAAGGCCATTTCAGGTTAAATCTGTAAGACAGTATGGATGAGATTGTGCCCTCGTGTTTTTAAAGCTAATTGCGTTATTAGCACTCTGCACAGGAGGACAGAGCGTCTCCACAGGACTGTCTGAGCTTTATTGACCAAAGGAAAAACTACTCTGAGGTTAAGCAGCTGAATAAAAGGGCCTCGACAGAAAAAAAGACGCTGAGCAAAGCACAAAACTTAATCCGGACCTTTAGGTAAAGAAATGTGGGCATCAGATTTGAAAAGCAAGCAGTTATTTCTCACACAAGGGCCCTAAATTCTCTACCGACAAACTCAAATGTGTCTTGGAAACTAACTGAAGTAAAAGGACACTTAAAGATCCCTGCAGTGAAAATCGAGTTTTTTTCTCCCTTGCCATCATGTCGCATTGAGTAGTTTTACAGCGATTGAGCAGAGGTGAGCTGGTGTGCTTATGCTGCAGCGACTTCAGAAGGGAGTTTAAAGAGAGAGAGGCAACAGTGTGGAGTTAAATCTGAGCCATTGTGAGGGACAAAGGGATTATTTTAATTGAAAAAAGGGTTTAAATATGTATTTCTGATGCACGGAGATAATTTCAAACAACCTTAAAATAACCAAATCATCTCTATAGACAAGTAAACAGGAGTTTTCTTTGGTTTTGTTTTGGTTTTTATCCCACTTATACAGCATCAATAACACCTCAGTGATTAGCTCAACTTTGATGGCAACGATGGGAAACTAACTGAACAAATATTTCACAGTGAGATGCAGGAAAAGTCATTCGCTTGCGTACAGATCCTATTGCACAATTACTCAAGAAGCCACAGTCTCTATTCCAACTAACTTTTTTTGACGCAATTTCCTCTTCCCTGGGATTATTTTGCAATTAATTGCCCTCTTCCGAGAGCGCAAGTTAGTGTGGGCAAGTTTACTCTGAGGTAGAGTGAAAAATAGAAAGCTGAGTGATTTACTGGTTGACGGAAGGAAGTCTGCGTCGAGCTGAAGTGTCACTGACGCTGCAGCCACATTTGATCTGTTTCCCCTCCCGAGCGTCTGCAATTCATTTGTTTATGGCCGAAACTATGACAAAACAATGACAAAGCTCCCCTCACAAGCTGCTCACGTTAAGACTACTTAATGTGTTTTGTGACACCAGCCGCCGAAAACAAAGCCAAAATGACTCACGGAAAGCAGACGGGCCAGTAAGTCGCCGCATTTGCAAGGCTATGACTGGCAAATGTTTGAGATTTTACTCAGCTGCAAAAACCAAAACCACCTTGTTAGTGTTTCAGTTTTATATAAAGTCTTAATATGAGTAATTACACATGAAAGAATCATCAAGCTTTTTAGGTCAGTGGGGACAGGTTTTGACACGGATCACTTCATGTCAATTAAAGATTACACCACCCCAAGTCGCCTGCAGCAGTAAAAACCTCCACACAATATGTTTTTTTGATTCCTCCTCAGAGGCAGAGGCAGCCGGCGTAGCTGTGTATAATCACTTACAGTGTTGCTGCTGCCATCTCATGGCCTAAAGAGGCCTTTTGTGTTTATTAATATGTGCAACGGCAGTTTGTGAAAACAAGGCAATCCTTTATCGTAAGTTTTAAGCATGGTGTTCTCCCATGCACTAATTTCTCATCTTAGATTTGATACTGATGACTACGATTGGTTTAAAAAAAACATGTAGAGCAGATGGAAAATATGTGAGATGTACTGATTAGAACCACTCACTGGCAAAGTGAGTTGAGTATCTTGTTATACCGCAACATCCTGCCATTCATGTGGATGCTACTGTGACAAAAACAGGTTCCTAACCTACATAATATCAAACATGTGATTTTAATGTTGTGGCTGATCAGTGTATTTAAACTTAGTTCAGTGTTAGGTGAAATCATTTTAGATATTGTTGCTCTGTAGATTTGAAGATAAATACTGATAAATTTACAACTATTGACATATATGGAAAATAAAAATACTCAAAAGATAAAAGTAAAGTCAAGCAGGTAATTAAATATTGTATTCTGATGAAAAAAAGTCAGATTTGCTCAATTTCATCCTGAGCTGTGTGAGGGGCTGAGATATAGCATCATTTCTTTGAGCTGGAAAGCATGTTATGCTAATATGATGGTGAAGTTTGACATTATATCAACTTATTGTATAATCTAATTAATGCAAATGTGGTGTAGTGGTTTTTTTTAACATGGTAACAAAAATTTCAACTTGTGCAATGTACAGTATGAGAAACTATGGAAGCGCTGAACTGCCACTCCTCACAAAAAAAAAAACAGATCAGTATCTCGTTATAACGTGATATTTTTCACGTTATAATGAGATATTACGGAGCCCGTCTGGTGACATCGATAAGAAATAAGAATAACTCGTTCCCACGCATCAGTAAAGAGATCGCAGGATATCGGTGTAGTTCATTCCAAGGTTCAAATCAAATTAAATGAAATCAAAATACTCCATGTTTCATGCATGTCCGCCCGTTATCCTTAATCGACAGCTGGTTTGACCGCACTGTGAAATTTGCTCCACAACTTCTCTTGTTTCTTCATATTAGTAATGCGAGGCCACGACTTAACTATGTTGTTCCCACGCATTAATAACTCGTGGCCACGATTTACTAATGCATGGGAACGAGTTAGTTTTTATTTCTTATCGATGTCACCAGACGGGCTCCGTAAGATATAACGTTTCAACAACATACCAACTTATCTCGTTATAACGAGGTACGTTTTTATCTCATTATAACGTGATAAGGTTTCACGTTGGTCTCGGTGGAGGAGGCCTCCTGTGCTCTGGTTGTGAACCGGCACTTGGCCGTTGCAGTGGCAGCTGGCGACACCATGGCAGCCCTGAACGATGCCCCACTGTTGAAGTTTCTACGAAATCATAGTGTACCAGAAGAGTGCCTCTCGTATATGAAATCTCACCATGTCTCAACCCAATCATGAAGTAGAATTGAATCAGATCGTGTAAATGAGTCATATTCCTCTGTTTATCCGTGCTCTGCCTGCCATTTTCTCAAACGTGATATGGCTTCACGTTATAATGTGATAAATATTATCTCGTTATAATGTGAAACTTTTCACGTTATAACGAGATACTGATCCGTTTTTTTGGCGGTTCAGCGCTTTCATAACTGACGTGGTTCGAAAGGTCAAATTCTGCTCATGTAATCTGAAGAAGTCATTCGTTATATCAGATGACAAAGTGTAACACAGTCCCGGTAATTAAAGAAAAGCAGGGCAAACATGCTCACTGAGGGTTGTTTGTGCAGCATCTATCGTGTCTTTGGCTGCACAGCATTCCAGCAATCAGGGCAGATGAGGCCTAATGGAGGGCGTTTGACGTATGTGGCATCAGCGAGGTCTTCAGACGGGCTGAACTCAGAGTGACTGTGTCTGGGCCCCGAGGGAAGTCTCTCCTGATACAACAACAAGAAGAAAAGAAGACACTGTTTGAATGATAAGCAAACATTTGCACACATTGTTTTGGACTCATTTGCAGTTTTAGTTATTTTCTTTGCATTTAAAATTCCGATCTGAGTGCGATATCAATTCACAGTGGACTGGAGGAGTACGTGAACCCTTTAAAACATTCTGCATTTATGTGTTTGTTTACCAGATTTTCTTCTAAGTCACAGTTACAAACAAAAAGTCTGTCTAAGCTAATACCACACCAGTCATTGTGCTGTTCTTGGCTGTAATGAATACACCATTCAAGTGTTCACAGTGCTACTAGCATCAGAGAAAAGACTGGAGTCAGGAGTTGGCAAACCTGGAGTCCACTCAGTGACAGATGACTGGAGGTTAGAGCCACATTCAAAGCATCTGCTGATGTGAAGCACGCCAAGAAAGAACAAAAAAAAACCCCAATCTGAATTCATCCAATCAGTAATTGTTGATTTGCATAAAGCTGGAAGGAGTTGCAAAGTAATCTCAAAGAGTTGTTAGATATTCATCAGTCCACAGTCGGACAAACTGAGTACAAAAGGATTTGGTGCTGTGGCTACTCTCCATTGAAGTGGGCGCCCGGCTAAGATGACACACAACGCAGAATGCTCAATGAGGAAAAAGAAAAGAAAGAAAGAAGAAGAAGCCCAGGGAACAGCGAAAGGTTTAAAGGATTCACTGGAGTAAACAATATGAAAAGCATGCTTGAAGTTTGACATAGAGGACGTGGATGCTTCATAACACTACCGCCATCATTAATCATCATCCTAAAGGTGAAGCACGGTGGAGGCAGCATCATTATCTGGCACCTGAACAGCTTGCCATCGACAAGAGGAGAGTTTTTCTTGCAAGATAATGTCAGGGTGACAGACAGTACAGCAGGAAAATGCCCTTCAACATTCGAGTAAATATGCTAAAAAAAAAAAAAAGACTTCAGACTAAGGAAATCCAGCCTTTGGAGCAGCCCAGGCACTTCAAGAGATCCATACCAAATATCGATGAGAACACGGCTGAGCTGAAGCCTCCAAAATTCCTCCTGAACCACATGCAGGTCTGATCCAAAGCCACCAGAAACTGCTGTTTGAGGTTTTTACTGCCAAAGAAGCTCCACTACTCATTAAACTCAAAAGCCAGATGGAGGCACATTGTATCAGATTTCTACATCTTGGTTGAATTGCTCCTGAAGTGTCGTGCAAATCGAATAAAACTGTACAAGTTCATCTTTCCAACGACACTGGTGGTTTGTCTGTGCGATGAGGTTTTGGCAAGAAAAGTCCTTTTGAATTGTACCTAAAATGTAATCCTCATTAAAACCCATGCTGCAAAGGGGCCACTGGGGGATCTTAGTGTTCAGGCTACTGTATGTAAATGTTTAAATTAAAAATATAAAGAAATTGCATATTTTGTAAGTCATACAGTATCCCACCACCCCTCCTACACAGCTCTTTTGTTCGCATTTTAGGGTGAGGTACATGTAAGAACAATCATTTTAATACAGGATAGTTTTTTTCTTTATATAAAAGTTTCATTTAAAAAAAAAAAAAAAAAGTCTGCAAGCATCCTCTTATAAAATGATGGACAATCTGGATAACTTTTCTGAAAAAAAGAAAATGATAAAACATGCACAGTGAGCCCTCATAATAACCAAGATAAAAGCTTAAAATCAAAGTTACTCATCGGGCTCATTGGGTTAAATCCAAGTCTTTGCCTCCTTTTCCCACCTGCACTGTGGATATTTCACCAGTGTGTTCAATTATAAAATAAGACATTAAAGGCGGTGGGTTATTAGGTTAAACAAATTGTGTTTGTTATTGAATAAAGACGAGATTACATTTCACTTATTAACAATTAATGGTACAAAAACTGGCAAATCTAAGGGCTTCGCACAGTTTCTTGTCACTGTATCCACCATTTGTTTTCCCACATGCTCATATACAAACAACATACTAATACACATGCAGATATACACAAACTACACACTTATCACAACATAAACTCAAGACCTTATTGTCAAACAAGCTGCTGCATAAATTCCTGATTTATTACCTGTGTGCACATACACAAGAGTCCTGTTTTTCGTGTGTGTTGCAGAACACTGTTCATTTTGCGTCTTGTTTTGCTCGTGCACAAGACAAACACACTACTAGCTGAACCTGAATGTAAATTAAACTGATTTTAATCCACATTTAAACAGGCAGAGGTGTAATACTTGACTGTGACAGTGACCTGGAAAGATGTACCGACTTATTATTAAACATTACGTTCGTCGGTAAGACAGAAAAAACTCCCACTTGCAAAAATTACCCACCGTTGCAGTCTCTTCTTCAAGACTTGTCAAGAAAAGTTGTTGTAGAACGAAATCGACATAAACACCGCTTCCTCTCTGGAAGGGAGCTTATTGGTTCCCATAAAGACATGTGACAGCGCTATAGCCAATGAGAGCGAAGTCTTTTCACTTCCCTGCACTGATTGACCAATGAGAGTGAGAGATTCCGATACTCCCACCCACTTGTGGGCAAAAGTCATTGCTGAGAGGAGTCTCGGAGGTGGGTGGAATTAGCTTTAGCTCATTTAAACTGTTTAGTACTTTATCTATTTTTAACGCTGCAAGTGAAAACCCTTACATAGCTGCCTGGTTAAACCGCTAATGTTATGTTTGTAGCCGTTGTTGTCATTACGTTTACCACATTTATCATGCTGCCCCACCGTGAAAGCTAATAGCTAGCGTAGGGAGCTAATGTATGCTAAAAACTGATTTTCTAGCTTCATAATTATTTAGCTAGTTTTCCAGCCATAAGCTCTCCAGCTTGTATCTGTAGGTGCTATTACGAGGCAGGCTGCATGCTACCGTGAATGAGAAGAGTCGTGCTTCTTCCTGCAGGTGTCTTCAGTCCGTCTTTTGTGAATATATCTGCTCATCTTCCACATCAACATGAGTGATCCCTGGCAGGAGTGCATGGATCACTGTGTGGAGGTCACCAAGAAGGCTGGGGAGGTAAGGGAACACTCTTAAAGCTGATTTAAAAGAAAAAAAGAAAATCTCTGTAAATGTACTTTATTTTGAGTAGAAACATCAGTGTCACCGTTTATTAAACCAGGATTTTCAGGTTTAAAAATGGCAGAAAATCAAAGCTGGCACATAATCACATTAAGAACACATGTATTACAGTGACATATAGCATATCATGCAGTAACACATGACCTGAGAGACATAAAAGAAAAAAGCTAGGCTATTTACAGCAGTAAAATTCCTAATGGACCTTATTGTGGAAGAGTTTTCAGATGATGCATGTCTAATAAAAAGTTAAATGCTAAAACTGAGTGCTACAGAACAGTTTTGTCAAGGTTAAAACACAATCTAGAGACACTCAAGACTGTATGTTTCAGGTATGATTTAGATAAAAGCAGGCTACATGTCCTACATTAAAAATATAACATGGAAAACATTGTTGGTCACGTTAACCCGTGCATGTAAAGCATGTCACCATAATTAATTTAGTAGATTAATTTATCTTTCAGTGATCTTTAGAGATGCTGTGTGTGCTTGACAGGACTTTCATCCAGATCTGTAGCGCATAATTGATTAGTTGTCAACTATTTTTATAGGTAAATAATTTATTTGAGTAGTTTTAAAGAAAAAAATAGTCAAAATTCTTTAATTCCAGCTTCCTAAATTTCAATATTTTGTCCTTTCTCGTATCATCTGATCAGAAACTTAATATCTAAGACATATGAGGATGTTATCTTTGCCTTTAGGTGATACTTATGGACATTTTTCATGCGTTTTATAAACCAAACAAGTAACCAATTAATCGAGAAAACAAACAACATATAGTCGACAATGGAAAGCTAGTTGCAGCCCTCCTTCTGTCAGTGAACACCCGTGTTATCCAGAAATAATAAAGACAGCACATAAGGATATTTGGGTTTTGGAGCTGAGACACCTTGTCATCTATGGCCCCGTCACTGCCAACAATATGTAACCACAATATGCTGCGCTAATTAAAGCGGCAGATGTAGTCAGTCATCCAAACACAACCCGCTCACTGTGTTTCTGCCAGATGATCCGTGAGGCGCTCCAGAGGGACATCACCGTCATGCAGAAGAGCTCACCGGTTGACCTGGTGACCGAGACGGACCAGAAAGTGGAGCAGCTCATTATATCCTCCATCAAGGAAAAGTATCCCACGCACAGGTACTGGGTCTAACAGAACGGCAGCTCATATTGTCATGCTGTTTGTGTTTCATGTGTTCTGTGTTGTTCCTCTCGTTTCACTTTGCTTATTTTGTTGGCAGCGTGCATAATGGTTAGGGATGAATCAAACATCTTCACGGCTTTGCTCTTATCACTGCCCCAGACAGGACAGTTGGCATTACTAATACAAATGCAACACCCACCACATTAAACTAGACATCAAAAAACAACTGCTAATATTGTGCCTGTAAATACTAAGCTAGCATTTTAGGCATTTTATTTATTCAGTTAACTGTGACATTAGGATCAGAACCACCTTTAGCAATACAATTCTGGTTGGGAAATATGAATTCTTTCTTTCTTTCTTCGGGGATTTATTTATTTTTGATAACCTAAAAATTATAACAAATGAAATGTATTAAATTATTGTAATCCACATGTCCATTGTTCATAATGTGCAAATGCAGAATGTAACCTTCCACAACAGATACTAAACAGTAAGGAAAAAACAGAGAAGACATGACCTCTGTGTCCTTCATGGTAGCTGCAGCTTTGCCTTCCATATTGCAAAAAGGTGTATCTAATGTCACATATTCTCACCTGAAGGAAAACACGACAGTAATAAAGTGCAAAGTTATTAATAATTTTACAGTGCAGGTACCAGTTGAGGTCATGCGATGCATAAGAATTGCCATTTGTTGATTCACTTTTTATTAAGAGGTTTAAAAACAACACACGACAACAACTGTGTACACACAGACTGATGCTTTTACAATATCTTCAGCAGATTAAGATCAGGCCTCACGAGGTGTTGCATAGTTCACCCATTTGTCCCAGTGGGAAGCAAACTGTCCCAGTTAATGATTGACAAAGACGGTTAAGTTTCCAGCCATTATCTATACACCGCTTAATCCTCACTAGGGTCACGAGGGGGCTGGAGTCTATCCCAGCTGACTCAGGGTAAAGGCAGGGGACACCCTGGACAGGTCACCAGTCTATCACAGACATTTTGTAAATGTCCATTGTAATGTCCATCCACTCATTCAATGTCAGATTCTCTCTTAATAGCATTTTCTTGTGACCGTCTTTTTATCAGCTGGTAACAATACATTTAGTAAACATTAGTGATGCACGATATTGAAACTTTTGGCCGATACCGATATCTGATATTAAGATTTCTGATATTGTCAATAACCGATATTACCGATGTCGATATGCAATTTTTGTTCAAACCGAAAACTGAGTCTAAGTAAGCACTGTGAGAACGTGAAAGCTAAAAGACGCCCAGACCAAATTAGACCACATAGAATAGAAATACTTTATTTTTCCCAGACCTGGGAAATTATTTATTTCTACACATAGTCTTCTTTATCACGTAACAAAAGTCAAACATATTTTAACATATTTAATGTTCAAGTCAAGGACCATTTAAGTAAAACATCTGTGAAATAGCAGCGATATCAAATATAGAGACGAAGGCGCTAATGTTAGACAATCATCAGTTTTTCACATCGACTAAATTTGTTCACCGGACCGATAACGATATATGGGAAAAACCCCTAATATTGGTCGATACCGGTGTGGTCGCCGATATATCGTGCATCCCTAGTAAATATTTATGTAAATCTCTTTATAACCAGTCTCGAGGTATACCGCCATAAAATCAGGTTTTACTGTCCAGGGTTATTCCACATCTGAATATGTATCGTAGAGCACTGTGATACCTTCAATACAACCAGTCCAAAAAATATGGTAGTGGTTTACACTTGGATTGCCTTTAGCCAATCAGAAGGCTGCTGTTTGTTGATTTTTCCTTTGTTCCTGTGTTGTTTTGAAGCTTTATAGGTGAGGAGTCGGTAGCAGCAGGCGCCCCCAGTCTTCTAACAGACAACCCCACATGGATCATCGACCCTATCGACGGCACCACCAACTTTGTCCACAGGTACTACTGCCTGCGATTAAATACTGTAAGAACCCTTGAGGAGCCCGATACCGCACCAGATTTGTTTTATCTTTGTCGCTCCTTCACTATTTTTATCTTTTAATTAGGTTCTCTCGTGGATTGTCCTCTCTGTCAGGGATAATTAGACAACCCAGATGAAACTGAACTGATAATAGGAATTAGTTCCTCTGAGCCTAAATCTAGGGGGAGTTCTTTAACTGAATGTTTTATATTGTAAATTTCTTTCGGGCAGGTTCCCGTTTGTCTCCGTATCAATCGGCTTCACGGTGAAGAAAGAGGTAGGCTCCATTGTACGCACATGGCTCTGTGATGTCTTGATTATAAGAAACATTAACATGATAGCAGCCCCGTTCACCCAGGGAATTTATAAAGAGTAGTACAGTAAAGTTCTCCTTTTTAGGCAGCTGCTGCTCTATTTTTAGCCCTCCTCCCACACCACAATAATTACTGCTGTTTTCTGTGCTGCTTCAGATAGAGTTTGGAATCGTCTACAGCTGCATCGAGGACAAAATGTACACCGCGCGGAAAGGAAAGGGAGCGTTCTGCAATGGATCCCCCATTAAGGTGTCTGGACAAGAAGGTAAATATTAGTCATCGCGCCACACTTTGGAGTTGCAGTTACGAAGAAATCCACCAGGTGGAGCCAACATTCTTTGTGTGGAACAAGAAATCAAAGTGATTCTGTATTTTCAGAGCGAACCTGCTGCTGTTTGATGAATGATAATCTCTTTTTTTTTTTTGTTTCCACTCCAAGATATCAGCAAGTCTCTGGTGCTGACAGAAATGGGCTTCAAGAAGGATCCTGAAAGATTCCAAACAATGCTGGCCAACATCAGGACCATCCTCACCATCCCCGTACACGGGTAAATATGTGCTTAAGCTTCAGCCCTTACAGCCGGGGGTTAGTGGCGCTTTCATATGACAGCAAACACTCTGTGAGCCGCTGCTTTGTCAGAAGTACACCAAAAGAGCAACTGGTGAGTTTGCAGCAAAGCCAAATGGTTTTATTTATGAAGTTCGGGCTGCCGTCGTAATGTTGACTTGTTGATGCTCCTCTGACCAGATTCTTATTAGTGGGACGATAGCTGGTGGAGAAAAGCGCTGCATCGATACCCAACTAGAACGAATCTACTATTTTTTGCTATTTTCTACTTGTTAACACTTTGGCACTTTCACAACTTTGAACTCACGCAACCTAATGGAAGCTGCTAGCTCTAACTTGTTTATTTATGTACCTTTTTAACTGGAAATTGACTCTGCTCCAAACTCATCAACACAAAGCAATCACAGTGCGGTTGCGTTTTGTTACAACAAGCAAAAACTCGGGTGTAAACTTTGCAAAGTCGCAGCTCAACGTGGCGAAGCATCGAAACATGGTGGGTTGACGGTTCTTGTGCTGCGATCACCAGTTGATGTCGTTCTATTTTCTGAAATCATATGAATATGTGCAGCTAAAATAACAAGTTGAATGATCTGATATGCTGCAAATACCAGTGTTTTGCTTTGAATTTGCATGAACTCGGTGCAGATAATGTGCAGATTTTTTCTCCCCCTCCCAATCGATTGGTTGAAAAGTAGGAAGGATTTTCAGTTTCTTTGGTTGACAACAGCCCCATAGCTACCGTGTATGTCCCCTCATAATAACAAGGCAAAGCTCACTGTGTCTGCAGCTTCTTGTTCCATTACTGCCTTTACAAAATAGTGAAAAATGCTGAAAATGACTATTGCCGTGTTTTCTAGACTGTTTTTTTTGTGATAGATGATTGTGGTCAGCGCTGACCTCTGTGACCAACACACTGTGTTTCCTGTGGCTCTTCTACAATAAAAGCCACTCTGTAGCCACCCTTCAACCGTCGGAGAGCATAAACACAGAAACAGAAACAAGATGATTTGAATCCAACATGGAAACGTCAGACTCCCAACACACCGCAATCAAACCCGTGATAACAGAGTGTGAATAAAGCGACTCGATATCGCTGCAAAAAAAAAAAGAGAAATAATATCCCAGATGTGGTTTGATCTCATGAAAATCTGACTGAACTCTCACCAAAGCATCTGGAAGTTGGAAGCAAAAATCCCATTTCCATCCACAGAATCCGCTCCCCGGGCAGTGCAGCTGTCAATATGTGTCTGGTAGCGTGCGGATCGGCCGATGCCTACTACCACATGGGCATCCACTGCTGGGACATGGCTGGAGGGGCAGCGGTTGTTACCGAAGCCGGCGGAGTAATCATGGACATTTCAGGTGAGTCACTGAGAAGCCGTGAGCTCTTCAAACAACACTTCAGTTAAACTTTTCAAAGGCTGCTGAGTCACTGGATGAAATGAAAAGAGGAAGGATTGCTGTAGGAGATTGCTTTACAGAACAAAGCGGCGAGAACGGGCTGCTGTTCTTTCAGTGAGAACACAACAGAAGTTATTGTTTATGAATTATTTATTGTTACCAGTCGTTCTTGTTATTGGGCTTTATCCTCCTTTCGGCTCATAAATGCCTCCGAAACGCAGTCAGATGAGGAAAGGGCAATTACTGGCTTTGTACTTGAGACGGAGCGTTTTGATCTTAAATTTGGGCCACAGTGCTGCTGACATAACAGCTGTCCTGACATTTAGTATGCTAAGGAAGCTGCTGTGTTTGTCTAGTCAAACATGCACTTTTAGCAATTGCAGTGCTATTAAAAGAGTAAACACACCCTTGATTCATGCAGCGGCTATTTAAAGAGCCGTGGCAGAGCGCACGCAGACGGCGGGGCAGATTTACGAGGTGCCTTCGTCTGTGTCCGCCAGTTTGCTTTGTGTGGACAAAGACTGAAGGTCATAACTCACTAATGAGCTCCTCTCAAAAATCTGATCCTATTTAGTGTGATATTAGGAAACGAGAACGCGTCCACGGTCTTGTAAACGCATCACAATCTAATGGTGTTCTGAGCAGCGTGTCACTTTTTTTTCTCTTGCCACTAAGTCGGTGTCATCACTCCTTCACACGTCTTGTTCTGCTTCTTTTTAATTGGATTTCTGAAAACATGATGTCCACTCGCTTATACAGTATGTACATTAAGGCCAGTGCTTGTCTTGAATAATATGTTTGTTTTAGATCAGGGGTGTCCAATCCTGGTCCTGGAGGGCCACAGTCCTGCATGTTTCAGATGTTTCCCTCTTCCAGCGCACCTGATTCAAATGATCAGGATTGTTATCGGGCTTCTGCCGAGCTTGATGATGAGCTGATCATTTGAATCAGGTGTGTTGGAAGAGGGAAGCATCTAAAACATGCAGGACTGTGGCCCTCCAGGACCAGGATTGGACACCCCTGGTTTAGATGCTCTTTGACTTCAGTTTAAATAAGAGATTCATCTTCACGTGATCTTGTAAGTTTGTGATATTATCTGTTTTATACTGACAACTCTGACATAAGACTACTTTTCAAACGCCATATTAGATCTTTGCTGTGGCTCAACTGTGCAAAATCACAGAATTACTCAATTTTTAAAGTTTTGAGCATAACTATATAATATAACAATAGAATAGAATGCCTTTATTGTCACTCTACACATGTACAATGAGATTAAGAGCTACCAAATTTATAGGGCTGGACCCGAATAACTGACTATTCGTTTGCTGTGCTGGAATCGGGATATCAATTTTGATCTCCGAATATCCCCCTGCCGCTGCCGACACTGACAGTGGATACAGTACTGTGACCGCTGATGGTGGAAACGCCCGTCCACTGCTGCCCCGTCACCCGCCACCCCCTCGGGATATTTGTCATTAATTAGCCCAAATATCCGGAGAACAGAAAATGCTATTCGGACCAGCCCTACAAATTTAACAGTGCATTGGAATAAACAGAGGATGTTTCTTTTCAAGACATAAGAGCGCCTGAACAGGTCGCAAATGAGTGATTGTTTTTGCAAATTATTAATCTGCAGATATTTTTGTTTGTTTTGTAAAATACAGAATGCTAAAAAAAAAAATGGCTGCCTTTGAGGTGACATTTTCAGATGTCTCATTTTGTTTGACCAAGATCCCCAAAATGTAGAATATTCCATATATGATGATATATTGCAAAAAAAATAGCAACTATTCTCTATTGAGACATAAAATTTAACAAATAATTCAATTTATTTTTCCAGATTTTGCTTGAAAACTGACTAAAGTGAAGATTCAGTTATTAAAATACTTTTTCTTAACCAACTGATTGTTTATCTAAAAATCAACAATGACTAGATGACACATTTTAGTTTGTCAGACGAATTCAATCTTCATCTGCAAGACACGGCTGCAACGAATCATTGTTTTTTGTTTAGTTTTTTTCTCTTAATTGCTTGTTTTCTCTTAAAAAAATAAAAAAATCAGCCCAAACCCAAATGTTCACATTTCATAAGCTGGTACAAGATATTTTTTTGGCATTTTAATGTTTCGTTCAATCGTCAAAAAAAGTTTTCTGTCGATCAACAAACAGATAAACAGTTTCACGGCTACATTCGGGGCATCCGGCTGGTTTGTTCAACTTGCTGACACACTTATTTTAAGCATGCGCTGCTTATACTTTGTAAGTAAGCAGTTGATAATTTAGACACGTACAACATGTGAAGAAAAAAACAACATTTGATGCTCCGTTTTATTTTTCTCTTTTAACCAGGTGGACCATTTGATCTGATGTCTCGCAGGCTGATCGTGGCCAGCAGCAGGGTGATAGCAGAACGCATTGCGAAGGAGATAACAGAGTTTCAGGTTGGCAGGGACGACACTGAGTAAACTTTAGCCAATTTAAGTCGTGCAAACACGCTCAGCTGTTTTCTGTGGAACAGGTTTCAAGTCCATCTTTGCCTTAAGAACCAAAATAATACAGACGTACCTCTGAGGAACATCTGAGCGGGTTTGATACACAATCTGAGCTTTCAGCCTTCTGTCTGTCTGTGTTGTATTCCAGCACTTATCCATTCACTTGTTGTTTTTAATCACTCAGCCATGTCTTAGTATTTATATTTATTTGTGTGGATGATGCAGCCAGAACAAGATAAAAGATTAAATACCTCAACACAGCATCACTGAAGCTACTTTACAATCACAGTGTGCAAGTTTCGACCAATTATTTTTTGCTTTTTCATTTGGGATTTTTGAAAATGTTTTTAAAGTGAATTCTTGAGGTCCAGCATCATGAATAGTCGTTTGCACTAAATGCACCAGTGGCAGTGTCCATACAAGTACTGTACTGTAGAAGAGCTTCTCTGTCAAATCCAGAACTTAAACCTGCAGTGTGGAACTTTTGTCTCTCCCTCCCGGCAGTGAAAGTACACAAACACTGGCAGGAGCTCATGATATGAATGTTAAAGCCACATTGTCCAGCTGAAATATTCTACAAACCGTCCGAGCAGCAGGATGACATCCGTGTCTGCCCTCAGTCCCTTTTTTTTTCTTCTCTCAGCGCTGTCCAAGCAAAGAAAAGTCACACCAGTGTTAGTCCGTGTTTGTCCTCACCATCAGTCACTTACACTGTGTGTTTTTTTTTTTTTTTGGAGCATCAGAAACCTTTCTTGGATGCTTCCTGGGTTTTTTTTTTTTTCCCCCGCATATGGGCTCCTCTATACTCCCAGCTGCTGTCGCCTCATCCATCTTCATCGCTACAGTTGCTTCAGCTCTGGCAAACCGATCATTGCTGACTGACCAAAAAAACAAAAAAGAAGAAGAGTGTCGCCAGATTTGAAAACTTCAATATACAGCAAAAACACACAGAGGTTCACCTCGTTTGGAATGTAACAGACGCAAAAGTCCCGCACTCCAGCTTCAGACGTGTTGTTTTGTGTTTTTGTACGTATGTAATAAAGACAGCAAACAAATATATCTTACTCATGACCAGCCTCTTTTTTTAAAACAGATAAAATGAGATCAGCGTGGGCCTGCACGCACACGTTATCGTGGAAGACAATCACTGGCAAGCGTTTCTGCAGCATAACAAACCAACGCAGCACATTTCAGTACCCATATGAGGGTTCAGTGTCATGACTTGTCCCCTGTGAAATATGAGCATCAACTATAAAACATGACTACTCAATAAAACCTGTCATTCTTGTACGTCTCGCATTACCTCATTCAAACATTCCTGAACAGACTAGCCAACCTGCCAGCCTGTAACGTTGAGTACAGCCATTGTGGAAAAATCGAGGCCCCTCTGTATCCAATTTAAAGAAAAAGGCTCCTAAACGTCTCAGGGACATCTCAACAGTAGCCTGAATCAGCGATGTGTTCAGGGCATAAACGTCCATACCGGCTTCGACCTAGAACACATGATAAATCTATAAAGCAGAAGCATGAGCAAGAAAAATGCCTATTGCTGCAAACAGGAAACCCAATAAACAGTAAACAGGCCTCTGACACTCCGTAAAACACGGGGAGAGGAGGGGAAGGGGGGGGGAACAAACCAAAAAAAAACCCTACTGCTAGCGTTGTGATTTAGTAGAGAGATAAAAGCATTCACAGCCATTACACCATGTAAAATTCTCCGCTGCATTTCCCCTGCCCTTTCACTCCGTTGCTGCAGATAGCTCACATGCACGGCGCTGGACTGCCCCCCGGCCTGATCTGCTCTATGAAATAGTCCAGAGTTTTTGCTCTCCATGGACTGCTGTTTTCTTTTTTTTTCCAACTTGTGTTTGCTGATGACTAACAAACGGTTAGTCAATGGTGCGAGTTCGTCTGCAGTAGGAGGCTGCAGACGTGATCGCCGGTGTCGGAGATCACTTCAGGAGTCGACACCTTCACACCAACAGCTGTGCAATAAATCCCTGCATTTTTTTGGGATTTTAAATGTTGTTCTTCTTATTTTTTTTTACAGAGTTATTAGCAGCCAACCATGTGCTCATACCTCTACTTCAGTCTATGTTGCCAGTAAGGAAGTGCCAACCATTGTTCTTTGAAAAACTGCAGAGGCTGTGTTTTCCTGCTATATACCAAAAATGTGCCCCTAGAGATCGGTGAGTTGGACAATTTGAACAACTTTACTTGGGCTTTTGTTTGGGAGTTTCTGGCTGTTTCTTAGTTTCACTCATTTTTTACGGTGGCTTTGTGCTATGGTCATTGTCACATACTGTATTTCCTTTATTCATTATAAGCTTTTATTAGATGTGTTTAAGGTGTCAGTTGGATCATCAATCCACTACTTTGATTTAATATCTCACTATTAGATGGTTTGTCATTAAATTTAATTCACATTTGTACACGATCGTCAGAAGATGAACCGAATTACTTCATCAGATCGTCAGATTTATTTATTTTTTTAGCCCTACAATGGCGTTACCATTTCTATTTGTGTCCACAGCTGTTGAATTGATATTGACTTTGCTACAGATCTTCATTATTCCCAGAAAATAGTGAAATTCAAGCCACAAAGACCTTAGTGAGCCCTCATGGACACTTAACGCATAACACCAGCGTCAGGTGATCCCATAGACTGCAATTATAAATGGACGAATCCTTTGTTATTTCAACCACAGGTTTACCAAAAAGCAGTTTTGAAGTTCAGTGTAGTGGTTCTGGCCGTCACCATCGTTGCAGCGACTGACTCTTCCTAACTTACAGCTAATCCAAAAATGAGCAACGAAATGTCCTCTGATGGCATCCACCTGTCAATCAAAGCAGCCACGGGCTTAATTATGCAGAATGTTAGGGCTTAATATGATTTAAATAGGTGAGTTACATAGAAAATCACCCCATGCACAGTCTGAATGAACGGGGAAATTAGCTATAAAATCGGGTAAACATGTTTATTTCTACTGTAATGTTTGGCATTTTAACATGCAGATCAATGGGGATTGACTCACTTTTGGAGCCAGCCTCAAGTGGCCATTTGAGGAACTGCAGTTTTTTGGCACTAAAGAATCCCCTACTTGTCCTGTAATGCCACCAGCAGGCTAGAGTTTCCCTGCATCGAGTAAAATATGTCATCACATTCTCTATGGATTGCCACCAAATAACATAATCCACTGTTCCTAGACAAATAATCCTGATAATGTTGGTGTTTACTTTCGTCTCCATCGCCGTGTCGTTGTGTACAGACGTTCACGGTGCCAGCATCGGGTCTGTTTCCTAACGTTTCTAATGCTTTAGTTTAACCGGATACCAAATGACATTCCCATCAGCCTCAGCTGTGCTCGTTGTCATGTTCAGTTAGCTTCTCCTGCTGGATATACGGTTTGAGTAACTGAAGCACTTTTCGGCTGCATTTGTTTGGATGATAGAACATGCAATGTAAGTCCACTTAGCAGATCCCTGTAGGATTAATGGCAGGTTGTTAGCAGACACCCTGCAGCCCTCCATCAGGAAGAATTCCCACTTGCTGCAATATAAACCATAGGCCTCAAGCTTCCCACAGCTCTGCTCTACAGAGAGGGGAAATTGGAGGCAGCCTCCCTACTGGCCGGCGAGTTCTAATCAACTCATGAAGAATAATGTAGATTTTGACTTCTGTGACGACAGGTTTCTAAGTAATTCATTCGCGGCCCCTTTTCTCATCATTTCACAGCAAGCCATCAATGATTGCAAGGAAAGGGTTGGCACGTTGTTAAAAAAAAAAGTCTTAAAGTGTGAATCATCCATCATTATGCCTTAGAGTTTCATCTGTACAGTGACCACCCACCCAAGCATTCAACCTGCCTGCTATATATAGAGGAAAGTTGTACAGTTAGAAAACGTTCAGGCCTGTTCTTGCTTGCAGTTGCACCTCTTTAGTCTTACCATCTTATCCAGGTATAACAATATGCGAAGCTGCTTATGAAAAGTGGCTCAAGTTTTGGTAGCATAAAGCAGACTAAACCCTGAATATAAAGATTAAAATGGCAAATTTCTGGTTAAGTTTTGCCTCTCGAATTGCAATGCCGCTTGATCCTCTTTTGACTGAAATGTCTTAACAACTTGGATTGCTGTGACGTATTGTACAGACGTTCGTAGCTGCCAGAGGATTAAGTCTGGTGACTTCGGTGATCCCTGCATTTCCTTCCTGTTGCATCATCAGCAGGTTGAGTCAAACGCTTTACAGTTATTTCAGTAGATTGCCATGAGATGTGACACATGCAGTAAAATTCCTACAGAATGAGTTGAAATCACTTCTGAGTCACAAGAAAGGGTTTAATTTTGTCAGTACTTTTTAATTTATGGTCCATCAGTAGAACAAAATCCTCCGAAATGAATGACATTCCCATCAGCCTCAGCTGTACATTCTGTTCATGGCTTAGTATAATATAATAAAGTCCTTCTACGGTCATTGATGAAACCCCTCTTAGTGTATCAAAGTCACTTATTTAGATGTTTTCTTGCAATAAAATAACCCCTTCATACCTTAAAATGGCCTAGCTGTAACTCTACACCATTGCTACCTCTAGAATATGCAGATATATGAAGTATTTGCCTCTATCCACACCCACCTACCCCCCTCTGCTCAAACACTATAAACTAGTCTACGCTACAAAATGACATAACAGTGGAGAAATCTGGCCATATGTCTTGAAACCAGAAACAGAATCTAAAGAGGAACAATGATACTGACAGCCCCAACGTGCAACATGAGAGGGTTGGTTCCTGGTTATGTACGAAAACGTGCCTATTTGACAGCCTGTTTTTGGGACTGCTACCAGTACAGCGCCAAGCCAAGGTGGGAACGCTCAGCCATGGTATTGGCTGCTTATTTTGCTCATGATATATCTCTCAGCGTATTAAAAAAAAAAAAACCTCCAGGACTCTACCATATGAACACATTGCTGGATTGTGGTCAGAAGGTCAAGAAATTTCTGTTCTGTCTCCTTTGCTGAACACTGTTCCTTCCTCTCAATGGGAAACCTTATGAGGTCAAGGAAGGAGCATTCATAAGAACAAAGGAAACAACAACCATGATGCTCAGAGAATCTGACTGCTCCTACGTTAGGCTACATAGTCATGCGATGGCAGATATTGTTGACGTTGGTCTGCCGCTTAACGAGACAAGACAGGAATCACTGAAGCACTTTTCATTAGCAGGTAGAGAAATCGACCGGCTCTATTATTATTGGCTGAGATTTAAATCAGGGGTTCCCAAAGTGGGGGGCGGGTTGTGAGATGCAGAGGGAGGGTCGCGAGGTGATTTTCAGACTGTGTTCCAAACTGTTCTCTATGACAGAAATAGTGGTTTATATAGTATGTTTGCCATTTTCTACTAGTGTCTGATTCTCAACAGGTGGTTTACCATAAAATACCCACAATGTGTCCTGGTTTTCGTATATTTTGGTCACCTCCAGTCTCTGGCACCGTCACTGGCTGAAAAGTGTGGAAACCCTGATTTAGATACTTTCTGGTCAGTTAAAAATTATAGATTGTGTATTACAGATGACTGTAGTTTCTAGGTCTGAAAAGAAAAAGACAAGGGAAAAGGTGCCTTAAACCTGTATTTTTTCTCGAGCCCAGCAGGGGGCGACTCCTCTGCTTGCAAAAAGAAGCCTGATTGGACTGAAGTCTACCAGAAAATGATCCCACTTCGCCCTTGATTTGGTGCCTCAGTAAACATTTTCCTAATGAGTTTATGGTCTCAATTGCTACTTTGAAGTCTCCTTCAGCACAGCATGATGTTCGCTCTGTAAATTATGGTGCCATTTGGAGTAAAATAGACCATAAAGCAGAGCCCGTGTTAAGACGTGGCGACCGTGTGATTGACAGATCACTGCCATATGTGTGCACGGTGTCCTTGAGTGCTCAGTCAGATCCACCCGCCGCTTGTCAGTTTCAAAAGAACAAGATAAAAGAACCCGTGGCTTCAAAACGGTAGTCCACAAACGCGTAGGAAACGTCACTGTTGCTATGTTCATTTTTCATATACAGTCTATAAGCGGAAAATCAAAGTACGTACCGTTGTGTCTGAAAACAGCCGGCGACTAGACGAAGTCTCATCTTTCAGGGTGCGCCGTTGACCTTCAGCAGCTCCGCCATCATGGCAGTCCTCAGTTACAGCTGTGATTCCGGAGAACCAAACATCCAAAACATCCGTCATTCTGGATAAATTATTCATAACGGACCTGCCAGGGAGACAGCAGGACTGATGTATTTGTTTTGCTTGTCCTCTCACTTCCCGCCGCATGTCTCCCAACATCTCTGAGAGCGTCTTATATTTAGTGCACAACGGGGACGACGGGGTGACAACCGCTCTCCTGCTGATCCCAGTCAAACTAAACTTTCAACAAATCCACCCCCCCCCCTTCATGAGATCCCATCCTGATCTGTTGAATTCAACGGGGGTCTCGTTTGTTTTAGCTGCAGCTTGTGCATCAGGATTTCTGGCAAATCCACAACTTGTACAAAGGGGATGATGATGTTGTCTGCCAGCTTTATTTTTTGTTTAACGAAGCTGTTGCCATATGGAAATTGATATCAGATGACTAACCAGCTTCAGACGTAATTTCGCTTTCCTGTCATTGCCGGTGCAGTAACATGGTTAGTCTATTTCAACACTTACAAACCTCAGTTATGCAAGGTGTGGCTGTGATGAATATCATGTCTGAACCAGCCCTTGAGAACATCAGCCTGTTTCTGCTTTTTTTAAAACAGAGGTATCAGACAACATAGAACCTAATGCATATTTTTAAGCAGTATAAAAGAAGCTCACATGTAGATCATCAGAGTGTTGCTGCCTTCGTTTGTCTGCACCCCAACATTTCAAATGCGCCATATGTCTCCTCACATTTGAGCTCGTGAGCAAGGAGATGCAATTTTCTTGAGACATGCAGCATTTACCACTGATTGAACAATCTGTCTTGCAGCAAGGTACGACTTCCTGTAAGACAACTGTCAGGGTTCCACCACAAGTAGCTTGATGATTCAGAAAATAGTCTTTTACGCTCCCCGAGGACTTCAGCGCAGCATGAATTTGAATGAAAGGGAGCCGAAGTTATGTCACTTCTGGGCGAAAACATTAAAAGCGCACACTGTATCTCTGCAAGTGGCATCCCACGCTGAAGCATTGTATATTTTTTAAGGGTGCCTGATTGTGACGATTCCCTCGTGGAATATTATTTTGAATTTAAGCTTGAAATAGACACATAAACACTGACACCTATGGATCTGTGTGTCTGCACTTCATGAGGATAATTTTCAAGACTTTATCCAACTTCCAGCGAGGCACACCGGCAAACAGGCGTGCATGCACACACATTATCTACACTGACTCACCGGGGGACCTTTGAAAGTGTTCTCCACCAGTGGAATACAATAAAGGACATGAAGGGAGAGCTCAATAGCTGCAAAAAACTGTCAGGAAATATAAAACTGTCAGGAGCTTTGTAGAATCCTGTGTTTAAAACCGAGTGGAGCTGGAATGTACGGTTTGATTTCCCCCAAAATAGCGTAAGATTCCAGTATCTGTTCTGCTTTATGATCTATAGGCAACAAGAGGGTGGAAATCTCAGGCCGTCACTGCTCAGTATTTACTTAAGTCAGCTATAGCATGTATGATATGCAGCAGGGCGTGGCTTCCTGTGACACCTACAGAAGAATTAGGGAAGACTTCCAAAAATTTTCCACTTCTCCAAGCATAGATGCACCTCGCGAGTGTGGCATCATGTTGTTGCAGGTCTGCCTTTTGTAAGAACAGAATGTTTTTTTCCTTCGGGTTGCCGTGAAGAGACATGCGAGGGCGGTGCTAGTACTTTTCCCACTCTGTCATGCCAGCTTTTTTTTTTTTTGGGTTGCCTCATCTCTTCAATGAGGCAATTTAAACTTAAGCTTCAACCAAAGAAGGTGCACTAACATCTAGAGGCTACCTGAGTGCAGCGCCTGACCCCACAAGGTAAGCTTTTCTTTTCATCTTCTTCAACTTGTACCCCTCTCGGAGTGGAGAGTGGATTCTTCATAGAGCAGCCTCCACTCTGACACACTTCAATAGCAGAAGATGTTATGTGTAGTAGAGAGTAGTTGACATACAGGGTGTTCTAGCAGCGCCGGGTTCAATGAGTTGAGGGGTGGCGTCTCGTCCTGAAGTAACACTCGTGCCGTACCAGTTTAAGTGATTTAATCTGTATCCCTAAACAAATTATCAGCTCATTTTCATTCACGACGGACGTGACGTGTCCTCCTCCAGCTTCAAAACTCTCATTTTCAAAGTTTAGTTACTTATCAGTGTACCTTCTCACTTTCCAAAAAATCAGACGAGGAAAAATAAACACCACAATCTGAGTCACCGTAGTAAATTTAATGAGCATCTGCGAGCGATTTGAGTACTCCGGGTACACGCTACTTCCAGGCACAGATAGTACTGCAGCCCGAGAAACAGCCTGCATGTAATAGAAACCACCCAAAACAGGAACAATAAAGATGCACATGCAATCTTTAAGCTATCAATTACAAGCTGTCTGTCTGCAAAAAACATATGGGCCGCCGTGTTCGTAGTACAGCAATCTAATCTAATTACGAGACAGTGATGTGACAAGTTTCGACACAATCTGTTGCACACTTGTTGCGCCCATAACTTGTGGTTGTGATTTAGAACAATGCAGGACTGACAGGTCCCAGCTGGAGGGGAAGTCTTACATAACGTTAGTCTGTTGTAAGAGAAGTGTGCCAATTCTGCAGGTTTCTACTGATGTTTTGTTTGCCTCAAAAATCTCTGCGGAACTATCATCACCTTTAATGCACGTCCTGTCGTCGCATTTGTGGGTCACTGAGTTTCTTTTGCTTTTTTGATTTTGTAGACTCGACCTCGTCAACCTCCTACAGAAGCACAATGGAAGACCCATGGCAGAAACCATATGACTTTGCTGTGTCAGTGGCAAGAAAAGCTGGGGCGGTAAGTCTGAGACGTTTCGTCCAGGGTAACTCTAAAAAGTCGGTACAGATTCTCAGCCATCCTGGTCGTGGTCGTCCTTGGTAGACGGCAATTGGGCTTGTCCTTGGTTCCTAAAGATGTTTCATTGTTCTTCCGAGAGGCTTCCTCAACCTAACTGACTGGTTTGAAGTCCATTTGCAAGCTGTCGCTCACCCAAAACTCACATGAATCAAGGCTCGTTAACGACCTGAAACTTACATGAATCGACGTGTGAATAGCGATGAAACTACCGGGTAGGAGCTGCATAATATGCAGCTGATAGCTGGCATTATAGGCCTCCTCCCCCTGTTTAAAGATGGTTGTTCCAGTTTGACTTGCTTCCTTCACTCCTCTCTCAAACCATCTATCTTCCCAGAGTGTGAACACTGATGTCCTCAAACAGGCATCCCCTATGCTTTAGATGCAGGTGGACTGCTGAGTGTTGTCCTGAAGAGCTAGCCCTTCAATATGATGCCATGCACTCGTGGAGAAGTTATTTAATCCTGTATATCGGTCTGTGCAGTCCTTGTTGCATTGGACTGAATAAACAACATTCCTCAGCTTAGTCCTATAGCATGAACCAGTTTATATCAAAGAGTGCTGTTGCTCCGTTTGTGGACTTTGTGATGATCAGAATACAAAATATTCCTTATTTAAGCAAGCTGATTAAGTTGAATAACCAAGTCCCAATCGTATCTCTGTTCCATCAGGAAATTAGGAAAGCTGGGGAGAGTGAAATAAAAGTTTGTACAAAGAGCTCCACTGTGGACCTCGTCACCAAGACCGATGAACGGGTGGAGAAAATCATCATCGGGTCTCTTAAGGAGGAGTTTGGAGAAGGCACACACTGGTGAGTGAGCCATGCACACACACACTCATACAAACACACACACATATATGAATCTTTCCATGTTTGTTGCATATCTTGATAATCGTCAATGCTTCTTCTGTGCTGCAGTTTCATTGGGGAGGAGTCGGTCGCAAAGGGAGAGTCATGTATCTTGACAGACAAACCCACATGGATCATAGACCCGGTGGACGGCACCACGAACTTTGTACACGGGTGAGACGTCCGGAAGACACAGTTTGATACAAGATTTTGTGAAGCGTTTCGTCTGGATCAAACACAACGCTTTCTGTTAAACTCATCAAACTCAGCAGTAAAACAGGAAGCAGTTTTCTTGTGCTGTGAAAGCAGATATTCACTTAATTTGCACTGATAGTATTGTTTTTTTTTTCTTATTTGTAGCAGCGACTACTGTTTCACCTCATCGTGTCCATCAACAGAGTCAGCTAAAACCCATATATTACAAACTGAAGACTTCTACTGTCTTCTTTTTTTCTTACTGACCCAGCCAAACATACACCAATCTGCCAAAATGTTACAAACTGCTACCTAACATCCATATACATTCCAGGACTCAAGGTTTTCCAGTATAACACTGCATTGTAATGAAATGATCCATGTAATTCACTCTAATGTTGTGGCTGATTGTTGTGTTTTTACATCTCTGTATGTATTTTAACCGTAATTTCCAGGACTTTGATCCCAAATATTAAAATGTGATCTAGTCTGGGCGCTTCTTGTTAACCCAGCACGACAGGAATAGTTTGGGAAATATTCTTATCCACCATCAAGCCAAAGGTCACATGAGAAGAAAGATGCTGCAACATGAGACAGTTAGCTTAGCTTAGCATAAAGGCTGAATCCAGGAGGAAGCAGTCGCCAACAGAATCCACCAACCTGCACCACTGAAGCTCACTAATTCATGTTATACATCGCATTTTTCTCGAAAAATGTCTTTGAAAGTATGCTTAAGAGATAAGCAGGGCCATGTTAGCTGTTTCTAATGCTAAGCTACGCTACTTGTCCACTGATGCCAGCGAAATAGTAACAGATAAAATCTTAAGATTCACCAAATAAGTGTCAAAACTATCCAGTTAAAGATTTTGCAAATATAAGAAAGGCCCCTTTTCTCTAATAAACTAATCTTATATTCTTGATCGTGCTTTCCCACAGATTCCCCTTCGTGGCTGTGTCTATCGCCTTTGCTGTCAACAAGCAGGTATGTAAAATCAGACAGGAAATAGTATTACATTTAATAAAAAAATGATTTAGCCAAACTTGGAAGCTTAAAAAGTGACATCTGTTTGCAGTTGGAGTTTGGAGTGATATACAGCTGCTTGGAGGACAAGATGTACAAAGCGAGGAGGGGGAAGGGAGCTTTCTGCGACGACGAACCAATTCAGGTGTCTGACGTGAAAGGTACGGTGCTGTTAAATACGTAGACGCTGCACGAGTCAACAGACCTGTTTGAAATAATGAAATAAATGAAAACCAGTTAACCGTTTTGGCTCGCTGTCGCTACAGATATCAACAAGTCCATTATCATTTCTGAGCATGGGACTGATAGAACCCCAGAAAAAGTGAAGAAGATCTTCTCCACCATGCAAAAGATCCTCTGCATCCCAGTGCACGGGTGAGTGGTCCTGCAGTGCAAACAGTATTGTCGCTATGCTGTTGAGGTTAACACCAAATGAATGCATCAGTAGCTGTAAGCTTAAAAAGCACATTTGATGCAACATTTCCCTGTGAATTAGAAGCAATATCTCCCTTTTTGTAGACAGTATGTAGATTATTTCTTTGGCTACAACAACCAGCCCAAGATGGAACTACATTTAGGATGTGGGACACAGTTTCTGTTGCTTTTTGACCAGCCTCCAATGCTTACTGTTTGTTCACATTTGTATTCATTCATGTCTGGATGGTCCGTCCTGACAGGCTCCGTGGGTCGGGAACAGCTGCCACTAACATGTGTCTGGTGGCCACCGGGGCAGTGGAGGCCTTTTTCGAGATCGGGATCCACTGCTGGGACATCGCTGCCGGAGCAGTTATAGTCCAGGAAGCAGGAGGAATCCTCCTGGATGTTGACGGTGTGTATACTGTCAAATCTTTTATCCCATCACAAAACAATAGCTAATCATGCAGCTTATCTTTTCGCAAACAAACACGTAATTAGCGAATACTGTGGCTGAAAGCGGGGTTTGTCTTTTAAAACACTGACTGCGGGTGAAGCACCTCTTAATAAAGGCTTTGTTTGACAATTTAGGAGGACCGTTCGATCTGATGTCTCGAAGGATGGTTTCAGCAAACAATGATGTTATTGCTAAGCGGATCATCAAGGAAATCGAAATATTCCCCGCGGAAAGGGACGATGCTCCAGTCCAGAAGAAATGTTAAGATTCTTAAAGCCTGTTTACACTGAATTTCCACTGCACTGCGAAAAAAAATGAGAAAAGCTACGTTTATATGTTTTCTGAATAAAGTCACTTTGCTTGATCGCCACTGATTGTCCTAATTTGAACATTTACAATACATGTATTATTCTGCCACAACATCCACATTTTGTTGGTTCAATGTGACACAGTTTTCAATTCTGCCCCCCCACCACCACCACCACCACCAACCTGAAATTGAGGGTCATCTTGACTGGATTTCTGATCAGTTCATTTTTTTTTTTCTCCTCCTGTCTTGAATCAGAATCAGCTTTAATGGCAACACAACACACAAGGAATTTGGTTTCGACTGTTGGTGTCGCCCTAGGAATGCGCAAGGAGAAGGAAAATAAAAAATGAAGTAAAATAACTACATAAAGAAAAAAATAAAATAAATAATAATAAGGAACAGCAGAAAAAACATGTACAGTGGTGCAAAATAGCACCGCAATTAACAATATAATTATTAAATGTATAATTACGTAATGAATATAAAAAAGGCATGTTGGCTTTAAACAGTTGCCAAAGTGACACCATGTATCTCAAACTTTACCAAAAGAAAGAATCGGATTTAGTTTTTTTATGGTCCTTGAACTAATCATGTGGCAAATTGAAAACATTTACCAAGTCTTTGAAGTTGTGATATTTCCTCAAAACAAATTTTTTGAACGTGTCTCATTTTAAAAAATTGGGCTGCAAGGTGGCACAATTGGTAGAACTGTTGCCTCGCAGCAACAAGGCCGCCGGCTCGTGGGTTCTCTCCGGGTTCTCCAGCTTCCTCCCACAAGTCCAAAAACATGTTGAGGTTAATTGGTGATTCTAAATTGTCCGTAGGTGTGAATGTGAGTGTGCTTGGTTGTCTGTCTCTAAGTCTCTAAGGCATTTTAAAATGTTTCGCACGTGTAGATTCCTCTTTTTTTTGCAATTTTTGTAAAATAACTAATCAAAGATATTCAATTTTTGCATTTTTTTAAATGATTCATGGCATTTTTACTTAGTTATGCTGCACAAAATACATTTTTTGGCTCTCTCTGCTTCTAGCCATGGTTGTGTTGTTTCCATAGAGGTGAAGGACTTTATATTGTAATGAAAAATGATCCCACAGTGGATAAAAATATGGAGAAAAAAAGCCTAGAAATAATCAGAAAGTCACTTTTTAAATCCTGTCAAGTGTCTTGTAATTACCAAACAGTTGTTTTGAGAGTTGCTGTTTATTCATTACACTCATATTAACATTCACCACTAGAGGTCAATAATGCATCAGCAATTAGACGGCATCTTCAGGAAGCTCTGCTTTCACTTTGCTTTGTTGCAGCATTTCTTATAATTACTTAAAGTTCCATTATTGCGTGCTTTAGAGGCGACTGACAGCCTGTTCTGAGGTGTCTTTGTGCTTCACAGACAATCTTCTACAGGCTTCATGATGAGAAAAAGAAAAAAAAAATCACCCAACCCAGAGGATGAGGTCATTTTTAACATCTGTGCTGCACTCTTACATTCTTTATAAAAAAAATAAAATGTTCTCCCTGATCTGTAAATGAACAACTGGCTTCGCGATCGGTCACAAAAGACAGCGGTTTAGGAGCAAGCTGGGAGTGAAAAGTAGCAGCGATGGCGAATGGAACAAGACAAACAGCGGGAACAACAACAACAGCAGCAACAATAACAGCAGGAGGTGGGGTTGGTGGTGGCGGCGGCGAGGCGAGGCGAGGCGAGGCGAGGGGGGTTCCATGTTTACACTGCTGCCTTTGAAACATAAATAACTGCAGTTTCTGTGTATAATTATGCCCCTACACATGTGCCACCGCTGCACCGCGTGATGAGGTGTGTGATGATTTCAGTCGTTCAAAAGGCAAAGTCTAATTCCAGCCCTGTTTTCTTGCATCACACATGTAATAACAGACTCTTTTTTTTTCATCATGTTGGGAAGAAAAGAAAAGATTATGTGTTTTGTGCAGAGGCAGATAATAGTTGCAAATACAGTGCGTCGTAACATTTGCTTGAACTTGCCCGAAGTAGCAGATGGCTGGAATTTGCCTTGTAGGACAATACAGTAAATGCCACAGAGGTCAGAGAGCCGCGTGCGAGTTCATGAAAGCCGCTGTTGCATATTTACTTGAAACTATCGGCTTTTTCCTCGACTTGTCGCCCTTTTTTTTTTTTCCCCCCACAATCCAAGGACATTTGGCATATTGATAATTTAACAGTTTAATTCTGGGTTGTTTTAGTAAAGTTGAATCTGGACGATAATGTGGTGAATTATTAGAACATCGAGTGGATGGTTGATAATGTGTTTATCAAAACTTTTTATTTTAATCCCCCTTTTAGGCATTTATATGTGACGAGGGCCGGTTGATGGAAGCTCTAGTAGCTGGATTTTGAATTAAAGGTTGTAATAAGCAGCCGAAAATATCCATAGATGCTCTTGTAGCTACGTTCACCAGTGTGTTATGAACCAGTAACTGTAAAAAAGTAATTCTTATCACTTAAATAACATATGAATTAAAGGTTAAAATACAAAAAAGGTCAAATTAATTGATTTCGATGAAGGTTTCATGCTGCAAACATTATTCTGATGGATCGACTCGACACAATAATGTCGCATAAATTAATATTGTGCAAACTCAAATTTCCGCATTAGCTAGTTGAGGTAACCCAACAAAACTGACCTGATACCTTCATTTTTCTTCACCTTGAGGTCAGGATTTCAGCTCCTCTCTTGCTCCTACTTCACTTATTGCTTTTAATTTGTCAGCTTAAATACTTAAGCTTATAATTGTGGTAACAAAGCACATAAGCACTCAGAAAATCCTTTCAAATCAGGTGGAAATACCAGTTGGAACAACTTATGAGTAACCAACCTGAAGATGTGTGTTTATGCTACCAATCATTCAGTAAGCGTTCATTAAAAATATGTCGATTTAAGAGGAAATATGAATATTCTGAACTCAAAGTAGTTTGTTGCTTGAACGTAATTTCATTGGAAGTTGTCATAGCTCAAAAAGACTGTTGCATTATTTTTGTTAGTTAATATTTTAGACCTCGGAGGCCGGTATTAAACATGTATGAAACGTTATTCTTGCACCTAACACATATCAAATACCGAAAATGAAATTAAACATATAGCTTTGGACTGTGACCAATCAACAGGCCGAAGTATAACATCGAAAAAATCTGTCAGAGGAGGAAGCTGATCTCACGAATGAATATGGATGCATGAAAATCACCATCCAGATTATCTGATTAGTATTTCATTTTCATTTAAGCCTTAATGACTTATACGTCTGTTAAATTGTGCTGCTGCCCGTCTTGCATTTGTGAAAGATATTCTTCATCGAAACAAAACTTTCAATGGTTGAATTAACACACGTGGCCAGGTTTCCGATAGCCAACAGAGTAGCTTTAGCACATCAACAAACAGGCAGATATAAGCCATGAAAAGCACCCGGCTGTCACCTACCAAACATGAAATCAACATGCTTGAAAACATACAAAAATCAGAAGACAGCTAATGGAGACGAAGCCCAAACAGACGCTGAGGAAATGAAACCTCGTCTCTTTGGATTACAGCAGCAACCATCTGTTGGTGCACAGAGCTCGTGTCCATCACCTTTTGAAGATGTTCAAAACATCTTTACCCCTGCATTTTCACACTAACAGGAACTTTTAAGGGACAAATTTACTAAAAAAAAAAACAAACACTGTGGCACAATCACAACCAAGAATAAGCCAGATAGGAAATTTGTTGCGGGTTTGATTTCTGAAGATGTAGTTTGTGTAGCTTCTGTTATCGAAGCCTGAGGAGGATCTCGTTCATCGAAACGTGGTCTTAAAAGCGACTTATTTGGAGCCTCATGGTGTGCTAGCCTCGTGTTTTTGTGTGCGGTTATCAGGTCGCAATGACAATCTTATGACATGCCCCAGAACGATGGCGGTAAAGTGTACAAGACAGCATGGGCCAAAGGTTCCAACAGGGTTTGCTTTAGGTTTTGAAGGTGTCTGGATACGTCCTTTAGCAAAAAACCAGAGTAAACCTTGAGTTTTATGTGGATAAATGTGACATTATCAAGCAAATCCAATTATATTCACTGTCTTCTGATTGAAAATAACAGAAAGCAGTAAATTCTAACGTTTGAATGATCAAAATTATTCCATTGTTGCTTAAAAAAAACAAACTAAACAATCGTTCAATTGTCAGCCTGTTGACCAATTGATGATTTGACAAAGCGTCTCAGCTCCGTCTGTGCAGCCGCCTCTGCATGCATCATCATGACAAGCAAAGAGGTTCCCACTTTGCAGATCCTCCATCATCTTTCGCTGTATTATACATTTTTTTTTTTCCTTTGGCATTTTTTTAGCGCTCCATTAAGGAAGGAGCTGTGTGCAGGTGGCTCTAAAGAGGGCGAGATGTCAAAAAAAAGGGGATATCGGCTGACGCAGGAGGCTGTCATCCGTCCATAAAGTTACTGTTAAGTGGCAATAACAACACGGTGGCTATAGGAGATGTAGAGGAGAAAGAAAAAGAAGCGTTTTTTTATTTCGTGTCGCAGAAAGTGTCCAAATTACAACCGTTTTAAGTTGAGTGCAGCACTCAATTCAAGACTTTTCTTCTTTTTTTTGTGTGTGTGTCAGGCAGGATAATTTAACACTCGAGGTAAAATTATCCAAATAGCTTCTCTTTCTTTTTTTTCTTCTCCTCTTGCAGGAAGAAATCATCCAATCTGCAGAAATGATGTAACAGATTATACTGTAATTGTGCCGAGTGTGTACTGTATATTACACTCTGCAATCAATAGAGCTGGGGGAAGGGATAAAAAAAAAAGCAGCGGTCCAAGATGGCACTGGCGGCCTGATTTCCTAATTTCTTACAGTTAATGTCTAGAAGTGCAACGAAATCGAACTGGAAAAGAAGGGAGAGCATCACGAGGAGAAAAGCCTCCAGATATCCACTAAGAGTCCACCTTTTCTGGTTCACTAGAGCCAGAAACAAAGCAGGGCTGCATGAGATTGAGCCTGTAGATCCCGTGGGTCCAACATATATATAAAAAAACAAAACCACAGTAAACAACA